GCCCGCGGGCCGGCCTCGGCCGGGAGCGGAGGAAGGAGCCGCCGAGGAGCAGCCCGAGGCCCCAGAGTCTGAGACGAGCCGCCGCCGCCCCCGCCGCCGCCGCCGCCGCCACTGCGGGGAGGAGGGGGAGGAGGAGCGGGAGGAGGGACGAGCTGGTTGGGAGAAGAGGAAAAAAAGTTTTGAGACTTTTCCGCTGCCGCTGGGAGCCGGAGGCGCGGGGACCGATTGGCGCGGCGCTGCCCCGCCAGGAGGCAGGACTCGGGGACCCCAGACCGCCTCCACCACCGCCTCGGACCTTCGCTCCCTCGCTGCCCCCTCCACGGCGTCCCCCCCAGGCGCCCCCATTCCGGACCAGCCCTCAGGAGCCGCCAAGCCGGACTCCCGCGAAGACCTGACCCCAGACCTCGGGCGCACCCCCCTGCACGCCGCTCCCCCCACCCCCAGCCTCTCTCCCGAGCCCCCGCGCATCCAAGGACCCTTCTCCTCCGGGATCCGGGAGACGGGATCACTCTCAGACCTGCCTCAACTCCCCTACTCAAGACCACCCACCTCTGGTACCAGATCTCGCCCATCTCGGGTTTTTTCCTTGGGATACCGAGAAACCACCCATCAGAGCCTCCCGTCCACCTCCGCTCCCTTCTCCCTGAGGGCATCAGCCCCCCCACCCCCACCCCGACCCTCCTACCTTTCTTCGGGAGACCCCCAGCCCCTGTAGGGGCGGGGCCTCCCTTTTCCCACCCCAGCCCGGCTCGCGCTCTCGGCAGTGCCGGGGGCGCCGCCTCCCCCATGCCGCCCTCCGGGCTGCGGCTGCTGCCGCTGCTGCTGCCGCTGCTGTGGCTACTAGTGCTGACGCCTGGCCGGCCGGCCGCCGGACTGTCCACCTGCAAGACCATCGACATGGAACTGGTGAAGCGGAAGCGCATCGAGGCCATCCGCGGCCAGATCCTGTCCAAGCTGCGGCTCGCCAGCCCCCCGAGCCAGGGGGAGGTGCCGCCCGGCCCGCTGCCCGAGGCTGTGCTGGCCCTTTACAACAGCACCCGCGACCGGGTGGCGGGGGAGAGCGCCGAGCCGGAGCCCGAGCCTGAGGCGGACTACTACGCCAAGGAGGTCACCCGCGTGCTAATGGTGGAAAACAGCAACAGTGAGCTCAGAGGGGCCGGGGACCCTGGAGGGGAGCCCCCAGGGGGCGCCGGAGTGCAGGGGTCACGGGGAGGAAATTACTGGCAGAGGAAACTGGCTAGAGGAAGAGGACCCCCGGGGTTGCCGGGAACGCGGGAGGGGGGTCTCAAAGTGGATAGGACTGAGCTCCCTACCCCCCCCTCCCCGCCCCACCACCAGGCATCTGGCCCTTGAAGACGAGGAGCTAGTGAGCGAGGTGGACCGCTTCTAGAAGAGGGCCATGGGAACATGCGGGATCGTGGGGGCAGTTCCCTAGAGGGAGAGAAGCGATTGGGGGGTGGAGGGGTAGAAAGACTTCCCTCTCCACCCGACACTAGAGTTTGGGGAGTCGTGGGGTGAGGGCTGCAGAGAGGGAGCCCGCTTTGGGAGAAGCGAAGACCCCAGCATTTGAGAAAGGAGAGGCAGTGGGGAAAGCTGACCCAGAGTTCAGGGCTCACGAGGCGAGAAAATTCAAGAAGGACAGGAAAACTAGGTGACGCGAACCCCGGAGGTGCCGGGAAAGTGGAGAGTGGACCTGCTTGCAGCGTGCGCGAAGAACACGCGGGAGTGGGGGAAGGCCCACAGAGAGGCGGCGAGGGGGCTGATACATGCGGGGGAAAAGGGGACCCGAGGTCGTGGGTTGGGGGGAGGTCGGAGAGCAGCGGAGACCCCAGGGGGGCGCCGGGGATGCGCGCGAGGTGCCCCGAGTATTTGGCATAGGGACGTGAGAGGAGCAAGCCCAGCGGGGGAAGCGAGCCCCCAAGACACCTAGAATACTGGGTGGTGGGAAGGGGTTTAGAGAGAGGGGAGACAAGCATGAGAAAGGGGGGAACCGTACGAACAGTGCCCTGCTGGGAGCAGCGAGCCCCCCACGCCGCGGGAGGGGAGCAAGTGGGCTGAGTGAGGAGTCGAGCCTTAGGGGGAGAGGTGGATGGGTGCGACTCTGCAAGATCGGAGTGAGAAAACTGACTGGGTCGGGGTGAGGGAGCCCCACGTGGGTGCCACGCGCGGAGGGAGGAGCCTGCCCTCCCGGAAGGGGGGGGAGGAGGACCCCGCAGAGATGAAGGGGGAGAGTCTGGACCCCAGAGTCCCAGTTCCTCTCGGGGAGGCTGGGGAAACCCCAGCGTCCGGCCGCCTCGCCCTCCCTTCCCTTTCCTTCCCGTGCCCGGGGGGCGGGGATCGCGCGCGGAGCCTGGGGCGAGACCGGGCAGGTCGGGTCCCCGCCCTCGCGGCGGCGGCGCCTCCAGTCCTCTTCACCCCAGCTCGGGGCGGGGCTGCCGCTGGGCCCGCCCCCCCGGCGCCCACGCGGGGACCCAGGTGTCCCTTGGGGCCGGGAGGTTTGGGGGCGGCCCCCCCGCTTGCCCTTTCTGCCTTGGGTGGTGCACCTGTGGGTCCCCGGGCCTTGCGTGCGCCTAGTTTGCAGCTCCAGCCGCATGACGCCCCTCCCCACCCACCTCTCGGCCTCACCTTTTCTGTGGCCGCTTCACCTTCGTTGTAGAGATTTCTTTAACACTGACACCTTCCATCCTCGTCTCCCCTCCCAGTCTGCCTCCCTCTCGCCCCCAAACCCTATGTCTCTCTTCCTGTGCGTGTCTGCCCCATCTCTGCCTTGCGTCTCTCCCGCATCCCCATGCGTGGGGCTCCCCGTTCCTGTCTGTCTCCTCCCTCTTTCTCGCCTCCTCGCCGTGCTCCTCGTGTCTCCCTGTCTCTGCGGTCTCTCCATCTCTCCTTCTGACCGGTCCTGCCCTTCCTTTCTCCTTCCTCCCTATCCCTTCCTCCCCACCCTTCCTTTGGGGTTTGCTGAGTAACCCCTGGGTCAAGATAGGACTTCTTTGTGGGGGACCGGGCTGGTCTCGCTGGAGTAGGGAGGAGTAGGGGCAGGGGCCCATGCAAGGAGCTTCCTCTGCCCTTTCTCATCAGATCCTGTCCCCACCATTTCTGCACCCCCACTGCAGAGGCCTAAAGCATGTGCCCCAGTCAGTCTAGAAGGTCATTGGCCTGTCCGCTCATCCCAAACTTTTCCTAGACTAGAAAGCACTCTTCCTAACTTCCGCCCTCCCCCGCCCAAAGCCATTCCTCCCTAGAATGAACTTTGCCTTGTCTAACCAGCTGAGGGAGGGAAGAGAAGAGAGGAAGCAATTAATAATCATAACAAGGTCACAGTAGCAGGGGAGCAGCATAGCCTAGGGGCTGAGAGCACAGTCTTTGGGAGCAGACTGCCCGGGTTTGAATCCCAGCTCTGTAGCTCCCTACGTCCGTCACCATGGGGCAAATGACCTGTTTCCCCAGCTCTAAAATGGGTATAATAATCGTCTTTTCCTCATGGGGTGGTTGGTTGTGAGGTTTAAATGTCTTAACCCTTGTGAAGTGTTGTGAACAGCACCTGCAAATAGTGAGCGCTCTTGAACACACACACACACACACACACACACACACCCCAAGGAGCGCACCCCGCATGTGCAGGCTCTCCTACACGCTTTACCTGCGACATCTCTCTCGTGTCACACAATAACCCCACGGTCGGTCCTCGCTTTGCAGATGAGGATCTGGCTCGGAGAGTGGAATTCACTTGCCCAAAGTTACACAGCGCTTCAGTGAGGAGAGCCTGGTTGGGAGTTAGGGAGCTCGATGTGGTTGCCGATTCCCAAACAGCAGCAGGAAAGTGAGGCTCTGGGAAGGAATGCGACTTGCCCAAAGTCACAGAGCTGGAAGGCAGCAGAGGCCAGGGCTGGTCCAAATGCCCTTGAGCCCATTTCGCACCTGAGGCTCCAAGTGCTGGGGGGCGGGGGCCTGAGCAAGTACAGCAGCCCCCTACAGCCATGTACTGAGTGGACACTTTACCGACGGTGGGGGACAGGGGTGGTTCAGACCCCTTTTACAGAGGGAGGAGACGAACCCAGAGAGGGCAAGCCACTCGCCCAAGGTCCCACAGCTAAAAAGTGTCAGAGTTGGGTTCCCACCCAGCGTTGTCAGCCCGGGAACCTACGCTCTTAGACTTGGGGTGTGCCAGCCGGCTCCCCGCCAAACCCCTGACAACCCTTCTCTCTGCTCCTCCCGCCTAGAAATCTATGAGAAAATCAAGAAAAGCCCGCACAGCATATATATGCTCTTCAACACGTCGGAGCTCCGAGAAGCAGTGCCCGAGCCCGTCTTGCTCTCCCGGGCAGAGTTGCGCCTGCTGAGGCTCAAGTTAAAAGTGGAGCAGCACGTGGAGCTGTACCAGGTGGGGGGACCCGAGCCCCGGAGGCGGGTGGGCCGCGTGTGCCCGTGCGCTGGGAACGAGGGCAGCTGGTGGCTGCCAAGTCCGCAGAGACAAACTTCGGAGGACGGAGGTGCACACACCGTGGATCGTAGGGCTCTTTGAAACTTGCAGACTCCTGGCACCCTCGGGTAATAACCACTCGGAAGGCTGGGACCTTGAAAGGTCTGAGGCTCTTAGACCATTCTGTCCAATAGGGTAATCACTAGCCTCACATGGCCATTTAAGTTGACTAAAATTAAGTAAAAGGAAAATTCAGTTCGTCAGTCTCACTGGCCATATTTCAAGTACTCTGTAGTCACATGTGGTTAGCGGCTGCTATTTTGGATGCCACAGATAAAGAACATTTCCATCGCCAGAGAAAGTTCCCTTGGATAGCTGTTTTAGAAGATTTCGAGTCTCCAGGAAGGTTGGGGCCTCCGGAAGGGCTGGAGTGTCCAGAAGGTTATGTGACCTAGAATCCATGTCCTATGGAACGTGAGGCTTCAAGGGTGGGTGTTAGACTCTTAGAACAAAGGCATGCGGTCGATCGTCAAACTTCTTGGATTCTGGAGAATTCAGCTTTATGCTGGAGTGTTCTGCCCGGCCCCAGAGGATCACCACACGGGGGTGTGAGGCGTTGGCAGCTTCTGGGTTTGGGGCGTGTCAGACTCCTGGGCGTGTAGAACTTCTCAGGCTCACTGAGTGTGTAATTCTTCGGGTGCTCCTGAGCGCTGGAGTTCTGGAATGACTTCTAACATAAGCCCCTAGAAAGTTACAGACTCTCAGAAGGCAGGGCGTCAGATTTGCAGAATTGTATGCTCGCTCGGTGGACCTCAGGATGTCCTCGGAGGATCTTAGTGTGGTGGGCTGTCCAAGCTGAAGGGGGCCTGGCGTTTCACCAGTGAGGGAACTCAGGCCTGGGGCTCAGGGCAGAGGCTGAGCCGGCCAGGTGCCTTGATCCCCACTTCCCCCCCCGCCCGGCCCGGGGGTCTCCCTCCTCTCCTCCCCGGGCCGCTCTGGGGGGGGTGGTTCCCACAGGGTCCCACAGCGTGGATGTCTGGGAGGGAACCGTGTGAGGGGCTCTCTGGAGGCCTGTGTGGTGGAGCAGAAGGAGGGGGGTACAGTCAATGCATTTGGGGGTGTGGAGCACCATCTACTCACTGTCTACCCCCCCAAATTCATCATCCCCTAGAAATACAGCAACGATTCCTGGCGCTACCTCAGCAACCGGCTGCTGGCGCCCAGCGACACGCCAGAATGGCTGTCCTTCGATGTCACTGGAGTTGTGCGGCAGTGGCTGAGCCACGGAGGTGAGGACTGCTTCTTTGCCCCACCCCTATTTTGTAATGGGATCGATCCCCTTGTTTGTCCTGGGGCTGCCCTGCCTACCAGCTGCCACCCCATGTTGGTGCCAAAGAACCAAGACCTGGCCTTCCTCCCAGACCCTCAGAAACATGAGTGATTAGCGCTTAATCCATTTCCTGATCACCTGCCCTGTGCTGGGGGATGCTGGGGACACAGCAGTGACCCAAACAGCCCCATCCTTACCCTCCCAGAGCCCGTGGTCCATTGTTGGGGTGGGGGAAGTGGGGAAAGTCCTGAAAACTGGGTAGGGCTGGGCTGGGGAGCCCAGAGGAGATGCCTGACCCAGCCTCCGGTCAGGGAGGGCTTCCTGGAGGAGGACATCAAAAGAAGGAGGGGCAAGAGCGTTCGAGGCAGACCCTGAGTCCAGGGAGTGCCTGACACACCTGATCTGTCTGTAAGAGGACTGGGTCTGTCCTGCCCGACGGAGTCCACAGCACCCACATCTCCTTTCCTAATCTCCCTCTTGATGCTGGGTACGCAGTGGCAACTAAGACCACTTCTAGACCCTGCCCTCCAGGGGCCCACAGTCACTTCCAGATACCTAGAAAGTCTTGCCAAAGCCCGAGGCGGCAGTGATGACCCCAGGGAGCAGTGTCGGGGCGGGGAGGCGCTGCAGGAGCCGGCCCAGGTATCTGCGCCCATCCGAGGGTCTGGGAGGGCCTCCTGGGGAAGGTGATAGTGTTGAGACTTGCGGGATAAGTGGTGGTTCGTCCAGGTGTTGAAAGGTGGGGGTTCAGGAGCAGGTGGGAGCTGGGAGGAGTGTCCTGTGCGGCTGGACAAAGGCCATTCTCGGTCACTGCTGGGTCTAGAGCACCCAGCACAGGGCCCAGCACCTAGGAGCAGCTTAGAAAATCACCCATTCATTCATTCATTCATTCAAGAAACCTTTCTCCCCCAGCTGCCCTGTGGGTTTGCATCCTGGCCCTACCTTTTCCCACTTGGGGCAAGTCCTCTCCTCTCCGTGGGCCTCGGCTTCCATGTCTGCAAAATGGGAAGCTTTGGTGAGGATTGAAGGAGATAATGCTCACATGCTCACAGCGTTTAGAACAGGGCCACCCGGTAGATGTTTGTTTTTCTGGACTGTGGGCTAGGCCCAGCGGGGAACAAGAAAACGGGCATCCCTGCCCCCATGCTTTCCACTGAGGGAACAATGAGGGAACTAAATAGCCAAATACAAATGTCAGGGAGGGTAAGTACTATGGAGAAAATAAAGTGATGTCACTGTGGGGGAGGGGCCTGTGTCCCGGAGGGCCTC